TGCAGTTAGTGGCAGCTAATGAGAGCTGTTGAGGTGTGGCCTGGCACACAGGCGGTGGTCTTGTCGGGCGAGGGGGGGTCTGCACGTCGGAGGAGGGGTCGTCAGGGGCGAGTGGCCGGGCTCACGGCCGTCCATGTGCTTCTTCCCGGCAGCACATCAACAATGAGCACATCCACGGGGAGAAGAAGGAGTTTGTGTGCCGTTGGCAGGCCTGCACGCGCGAGCAGAAGCCTTTCAAGGCGCAGTACATGCTGGTGGTGCACATGCGCCGGCACACGGGCGAGAAGCCGCACAAGTGCACGGTGAGTGGAGCTTCCCGCGCCCCACACTGCCCCCGTGTTGTCCTGAGCTTCCGGTGCGGCCCTTTCCCCCTCCTGGGTCTCCGGAGGACAGCCGCGCCCGTGGCTGATGTGGGCTGTGCTGGGCGTGGCTGGCCATGGGGAAATGTGGGTTGAACAGGCCACAGCAGCATCTTGGGGACCCACCTCCGAAATGTGTTGTCGTCTGTGCTCCTGCCCTGGGCCTTCTGTCCCATGGGGGATTCTTGAGTCCCCCCATCTGTCTGTTCCCCAGAGCTCTGATGGACTCGGGGGGTGCGTGCATCTCGGTAACTGCAGTGGGGATGTGCTGGTGGCTCTGTAGTTGTGTCTGTGTGTCCATGAGCCCCACGGTACAGCTATACCCCTGCAGTTCCCTCGGCTGGCAGACCCCAGACACAGGTGCCAGCCCAGTAGCACCCCCTAGCCTGCCCCTCCCAGCCCCCCTACACACAGAGAGAAAAGCTTCGCTGACCAGTCAGAGCTGGAGCAACATCCCTTTGGTTGAATTTCTTTATTTTTTGTATTTCTTTTTTAATTTTTATTTTATTTAAGATTCTATTTATTGCAGAGAGAGAGAGAATGGGCAGGGAGAAGGGGCAGAGGGAGAAGCCTACTCTCTGCAGAGCAGGGAGCCCGATACAGGGCTCCACCCCAGGACCCTGGCATCATGACCCGAGCCGAAGGCAGACGCTTAACCAACTGAGCCACCCAGGTGGCCTGAATTTCTTTTTTTAACGTAGACACAAAAATAAGACCTTTTAGACAGTTTCCCTTGAGATGTCAACAGAATCTGTGGCTGTGATTGGCAAGACCTTTTTTTAACACACAACTGCTCCCTCTTTAAAAGGGCCACTGCTGGACCAGTGATGCACTGATGTGGTTGCAGCTAAAGCCTCTGGGAACTCTCCGTGAATTACCTTATTTTATAATTCTGAGATAGACATTTTGTTCTCATTTTAGTATCTCTCAAATCAGGCTGTCTTAAAATTGGTGTGACCGGGATTCAACGAAATATGCTACCTTTGTCGGCAAGTTTTTTTTAATTGAGATAAAATTCACATGCTGTAAAGTTCACCGTTTAAAAAATGGACAAGTCAGTGATTTTCAGTATGTTCACTAAATTGTGCAACCATCACCAATAGCTAATTTCAGAACATTGTCATCACCCCCAAAAGAAACCCCAGACCTGTTTGCAATCACTCCCTGCCCTCTTCCCCCCTACTCCCTAACACTAACTCCCTAACTAATCTGCTTCCCTGTCTCTATGAATTCCAGATAATTCGTTCAAACAGAATCACGTGATGGACAGCGTTTGTGTTTGGCTTTGTTCACTCAGCATGTTTTCAAGGTTCATCCATGTCATAGCATCTATCAATACCTTGTTTCTGCTTGTGGCTAAGCAACAGTCCATTGTATGGATAGATCTTAATATTTTTATCCATTTACCCAGTTGATGGATATTTGCATTGCTTTCGCTTTTTGGCTATTATGAAAAATGCTGCTCTGGACATTAGTGTACAAGTTTTCAATTCTCTTGTGTTTGTACCTAGAGTAGAATTGCTGGGTCCTATGGTAACTCTGTGTTCAACTTTTTGAGGACCAGCCAGACTGCTTTCCAAAAAGGCTGCACCATTTTACATTCCCACCAGCAATATGTGAGGGTTCTGATTTCTCCACGTCCTTGCTAACACTTGCTAACTTGTCTTTTGATGACAGTCATCTTAGGGGATGTGAAGTCACATCTCATTGTGGTTTTGATTAGCGATTCCTTAATGACTGATGATGTTGAACATCTTTTCATGAGTTTAGTAATCATTTGTATACCATCTTTGGAGAAAGGTCTACTCAAGTATTTTGCCCATTTTTTAAATTGAGTTACTTGTCTCTACTGTTGGGTTGTAGTAATTCTAAACTCTTATCAGATATATGACTTCCCAGTAGTTTCTCCCATTCTGTGGGTTTCTTTTCATTTTCTTGATAGTTTCCTTTGAAGCATCAAAGTCTTTAATTTTGATGAAGTCCAACTTTTTAACTGCTGGTGCTTTTGGTATCATATCTAAGAAACCATTGCTTAATCCATGGTCGCAAAAATTTACCCCTATGTTTTCTTCTGTGAGTTTTATAGTTTATAAATATATAGTCTTATACACACACACACACACACACACACACACACACACACACATATGGTTTTATAGGGTAGCTCTACCATTTAGGTCTTGAATCCATTTTGAGTCCATTGGGTATACAGTGTGAGGTAGGGGTCCAGCTTCATTCTTTTTGCATGTCGCTGTCCTAGTTGTTCTGATGCATTTGTTGAAGAGACTGTTCTTTCCCCATCGAATGGCCTTAACACCGTTATTGAAAATCACCTGACCCTAATATATGAGTTTATTTCTAAACTCTCACTTCTAGTCCATTGATCTCTATGTCTGTCGTTATGGTAGCACCACACACAGTCTTGATTCCTGTAGTTTTATAGTAAATTTTGAAATTGGGAGTGTCAGTTCTTCAAATTTGTCCTCCTCTTGCAAGATTATCTTGGCTCTTCTGGGTCCTTTGCAGCAAGTTATTTTTGTAACATTCTGAGTTATAGCAAACCATAGCCCTATGGTACGAGCTGTGAGTTAAAGAAACAGATCAATGTACCAAATATACTCAGTCAGACTGGTCAGGAAAAAAGGGGAGGATGCAAACAGTGTGCCAGTTTCTACTGGGGTCACTCTGAGGGCAATTTTCACAGGAACATTAGATGCTATTGCAGTATCTTGGGAATAGGTTTAGATCCTCCTACAGTGATCCATCCTTCCTTCCTCTCTCCCTCCTTCTCTGCCACTCTTTCTTGCTCCCTCCTTCCTTCCTTTCCAAAAATGCTTCTTGAGTGCCAAAAAAATTTTTTCATCTGATATTAAATACTAGGAACACAAAAATGAACATGATCCAGAAGGTACCTGTTCTCTTGGAGCTTGTTTCCTATGGGAAGGCCAGATAATAAAATGATGAAGATTATGAAGTGTGGTAGGAAGTATAAAGCAAAAAAGTAGTCTTATGATTAAGAAGATCAGAGAAATTCTTTTAGAGGAACTACCTTAAGACATTGAGAGGGAATGAGCCAGGCCAGAATCCGGCTAGGGTTCTAGCCAGAGAGTACTATGTGTGCAAAGGCTCCATGCGGGGAAGAACTTAGTGGGGCCATGGAACTGAAAGGGGACCAGCATGACCAGAGCGAGGGTGAGGCCAGTTCACTCAAGGATTTGGAGAACACTGGATTGGATTGGATTGGATTGGATTGGATTGGATTGGATTGGATTGGATTAAAGTAGGCTCCATGTCCAGCATGGAGCCCAATATGGGGCTTGAACTCACAACCCTGAGATCAAGACCTGACTGAGATCAAGAGTTGGCCATTTAACCAACTGAGCCACCCAGATGCCCCTGGATTTTATTCTCAGCACGTTTTAATGCACACAAACATTCTAATCAAGGAGTGGCCCTGGAAACAGTTAAAAGAGTATTTTCAAAAAGTTTTTAATGATACGGGAAGATTCTCACCATGTACCATTGATTTTAACAAACAGAATATGTAACTAAATACATGATATATTCCCAGTTTGGGTTTTTAAACATTTGGGATGAACTACAAAGTCCCCAGAGAGAGACTTACCTGGATGTCGGCAGAGGCTGTCCCTGGGCAGCTGATGGTTTTCATTTCTTTTTTTGCACTTTTCCATCCTTTCCAAGTTTTTTAGAGTGGTCTTATGTTGTTTTATAGTCAGAAAGCAAGGTGGACATTATTGTTGAAACACACACTCCTGGGTGCACCTGCGGGGTGCAGCGGACGGGGGTTCTGGGGAGGAGGCAGTCGGGGCAGCCCCTGAGTTCGGGTTCCCCGTGTTGGATCTGGGGCACTCTCACTGACCGAACCCACCTTTTCCCAGTTCGAGGGCTGCTCGAAGGCCTACTCTCGCCTGGAGAACCTGAAGACGCACCTGCGGTCCCACACTGGGGAGAAACCATACGTGTGTGAGCATGAGGGTTGCAACAAGGCCTTCTCCAATGCCTCAGACCGCGCCAAGCATCAGAACCGCACCCACTCCAACGAGGTACCCGGCCAGGGTGTGCACAGCGCATGCACGTGGGGCCCCATCGACATGTGCATAAATGCATCACCCCATGGCTTCTAGTAGGCCGTCAGGTACCTAGGTGCCTGATGCCCTTCGCCCCCTCCGCAGCCTACTATCTGAGCTCAGCACGCATCGGCAGGCCCCTGCCCCTCCACCCCGCGCAGCTGGCAACGACATGCTGTAACCGCTACTGCTGTCTGAGTGACCGGAGCTGTCAGCCCCCCACTGATAGGGCACAGAGCAGCCTTTGTCTCCCTAGGTAGCCAGAGCCCCTGGCAGGGCTGACAGAGCCCAGGGAGAGAAGTCTGCTGTATCTGCCTCCCAGTCCAGGCCCAGACATTCAACTGCTTTTGCTCGGGTAGACTCAGGAAGGAACGTTTCTAAAAGCTTAGCTACATTTTAGATCCCAAGAGGATTTCCTGGTAGGAAATCAGAGGAATTCCCAAAGGAATCTAAGTCCTTCAGGGTCTCTACAGACAAGAGCTAGCCTTGGAGAGGGGTATGTTTATGTATGTGTGTGGATGTTTCCGTGTATGTGGATGTATGTGTGTATGTATTTTTTTTTCAGCTTGGTGGTTTCCTCTTTATTGATGTGCCTCCTACCCTCCGCCCCCCACAATTTCAGTCCCTTCCATCTACCCCCAAAAAAGAAGGTAGTGAAAGGAAGGGAATGTTGGCGTTCTGAGCCCCTTGGGCAGTTAGAAAGGGAACAGAAACCAAAACAATCACTGGATGTGACAGAGATTGACAATTGAGAAGTCTAAAGCAGAGTGGGAAAGGTGGTAAGAGCAAGGGGAGAAAGGAGAGGTCCAAGAGGCCACCTCCCCCATGAGCCCTCCTGCTTAGAGGGGCTGGAGGAGAGCCTCAAACATTAGGAAGTGCAGGTCCTATAGAAGGGATGTGGTGGTTGAGCCCCGAGGAGGAGTAGGTCAAGGAAGGGGGGGGCCACCTCTCTCTTTGTAGAACAGGAGCCCCCACCTCAGGGGGAGCAGCTTCACAGACCGTAGACACTTTCCTCACTGTAGGTGATGCATAGAAAGAAGTCCTCTATATGGTGTTCCTGGTAGAGCTGACCCACTGTGGCACTGGTGGGTGGAATGACATTGTTGACAAAGAAAAACAAGGCATCCTCAGCTTGGAGATGAATGCGTTTCCGGATCAAGAAGTAGAACTGACCAACTGTGAGATCAGAAGGCACCAGATCTTTCTTTTTGTCCAGGTCGCCTATCCGAGCTTTGGGAGCCTTTTCTACTGTCACCGGAACCCGGCCCGGGTATTTCTTTCAGATCTTCTCGCCCTCAGAGCGGCATTTCTCAAACGGATGCCCCTCTTTATACATGAACTTCATCCTCCCGGGAACCAGGCTGGACCGGGGCTGGGCTGAGGGAACCTGGGGTGGGGAACCAGGAGAGGCGGCGGCGACGGTGCTAACGTGTGGGTGGACTCAGCGGAGTGATCCCGGGACTTGCGCCCAGTATGTGCGGTTGTATTATGTGGGTCTGTGTGGATGCGTATTTGTAGGATGTGTGTTATGCACTTGTGCACATGTACATGTGTATATGCATGTGTGCGTGTATGGTGTGTCTGCGTGGACATGTGTTATGTGTGAACATGTGTGGAGGGGTACAGGGGAGTGTGTCTACATGTAGATGTGGGGTATGTGTGTGTGTGTGTGTGAACTCAGGACTGAGGTTCAGAAACCCTGGGTTTTCGTCCCATTCCTAAGTGGCTTTGAACCAGTTTCTTTGCCTCTGTGAACCTGTTTTTCCTCATCAGAGAGATCAGGGCGTTAATGCTGTCTCATGGGTATTACAAAGTAATACACTCCTACTGATATCAAAAATCCCAGTGCCCTGGTCCCTGCGGAGGCGGCATTACAATCACACCAAGCTCTGGGTCCCTACCACCTCCAGAGTCTCTGATCTATGTCCCCAGCTTGTGATGAGGGCTTCCTCAGCCATGTGCTCACCCACATGAAGAGATGGCAGATCAGACCAGTGGGGCTGAGCTCCTGCAGGCCCTGGAGCTGGCATGCCTCCATCCAGGGTGCCCTGAGGTCCAGCACCTTCTGACTATGCCAGCCAAAGGACGTGGCATGGCTTTGGGAGAATGTGGAGTGCCCCCACTCAGAGTCTCCTAACATAGGCTTGCTCCTCTCCCCAGAAACCCTATATCTGCAAGATCCCAGGCTGCACCAAGCGATACACGGACCCCAGCTCTCTCCGGAAGCACGTGAAAACAGTACACGGCCCGGATGCTCACGTCACCAAGAAGCAGCGCAATGACGTGCACCTCCGCGCCGCCCTGCTCAAGGAGAACGGGGACAATGAAGCCAGCGCCGAGCCCGGCGGCCGGGGCTCCGAGGAGAGTGCCGAGGCCAGCAGCACCAGCCAGGCCATGGAGGACTGCCTACACGTCAAAGCCATCAAGACCGAGAGCTCCGGGGTAAGCAGAGCTGGGCAGTGGAGGCCCCAGTGCATGCCTCCCAACCCCCAGGAGATCAAGCCCAGCAGCATGAGGGCCCAGAGCCCCAACTGCAGCTGGGGGCTCTGCCTCGGTCTCCCCCCGCAAGGGCACGATGATGTCTTCCTCTCTCCAGCTCGACTTCCCTCCCTTCACGACCTTGGGCCTCTCATAGAACCTGTCTTGTGCCAGGTCCCATTCTTCTGGGCAGGGCCATGGGCCGCGGGGATGCCTGCCCCCACGCGGTCAGTCTGTGGGTGGTTCCTGGGGTCTGCCTTTCCAACCAGCACACGAGCGCTAGTGTTGCTCCCCTCCCCTCTGTCCTGTCTCTGCGTCCTTGCCCCTTGGCCTCCACTCCTTTTGTTCTAACCACCTGTTCTTTGTCTCCGCCTCTTTTTCTCGACTGTACCTCCCCTAAGGATAGACGGTACTGAGGTGAGCAGAGAAGCCCGGCCGGGGTGTGGGCGGGCTGGCGCGCTGAGGGCGGGCTGGGGTGCTGGTCCAGGCCTGCTGCCTGGGTGCAGACTGACGTGTCAGTCCAGACCCCTTGGGAGCCCGGTAAAGTGGGTTTGGATCAGTAGGCACCAGGCACTGCAGGCGGAACCCCTGGGACAGATACAGGCTGGTGGGGCAGGAGTGAAGCTGGCAGATACAGGAGCGAACTGTGGGGACCAAGCCTCCACGAGGGACAGGGCTGAGTGGAGGCGTGAGTTCAGGGCACAGAGGAGGGAAGGACCAGCCGACGGAGGGTCGGTGCCAACGTGAGAAATGCAGGTCATGCCACGGGCAGAAGGAAGCATTGGCACTGAAAATTCCAGAAAAGTCTAGAATTTGGGGGCATGTGGCCTGGGAAGGAGCCCACAGGGGCTGTATCTGAAGTGAGCCTCAGCCACGCTCAGATCCCAGGTCCCAGTCGAGGCAGCCCAGGTTGTGTGGAGTCCTGCATTGTACACACGAGCCATGAACTCTCTGCCTCCCTCCGTTTCGACCCAGAATGGGGACGGGTTTGGGGTGGCCCTTCAGGCAAGGGCTTGCATCCAGCAGGTCCACCCTCCCTGGTCTTCCTGGCCTTTCTGACAACCTGCCTCTGGCCTGTTGAGAGGGCACCAGGTCAGCAGATCTCCACTGTGTCTTGCTTCATTACATGGCACGTCCCTGTTGTTGGGAACGTTGAGCCGCCCTCTTTGATGTCAACTTCATGCAGCCGTGGCTGCCTCTGTGGGGCACAGACTCAAAGTGTCCCCGCACGCTGAAAGGGAGCTCTGGCCCAGACGCTGGCTGGGGGAACTGAGTGGCAGGAAGCAGCGTAATGTGGGGCTGTCCGTTCCCCGGGCACCTTCTGCCTTACCGGAGGCTTTCCATCTAGCCACTGACACTGTCCCAGAGGCAGCTCAGGTGCATCTTCTAGTTGGGGAAACTGAGGTTCAGAGAAGTGAGGTGACTGGGCCACCTGCTGTAGATAGTGATGCTCAGAAGCTCCTCTGCATGGCAGCCTCCTTCCCGAGTGTGCAAGGGCATAGCGTGTGTGCGGGCAGGGGCACAGGCCCAGGGGGTTTCTCGCACCCTCTGACCCTGTGCCTTCTCACCACACCCCCCTGTAGCTGTGTCAGTCCAGCCCCGGGGCCCAGTCGTCCTGCAGCAGTGAGCCCTCTCCCCTGGGCAGTGCCCCCAACAATGACAGTGGCGTGGAGATGCCGGGGACAGGGCCCGGGAGCCTGGGAGACCTGACGGCTCTGGATGACACGCCCCCGGGGGCCGACGCCTCAGCCCTGGCCGCTCCCTCTGCTGGTGGCCTGCAGCTGCGCAAACATATGACCGCCATGCACCGGTTGGAGCAGCTCAAGAAGGAGAAGCTCAAGTCACTCAAGGATTCCTGCTCTTGGGCCGGGCCGGCTCCGCACACCCGGAGCACCAAGCTGCCTCCCCTCCCGGGAAGTGGTGAGTGGAGAGCCCGGGCGTGCACGCAGGGGCGGGACAGGGCCTGGGGCAAGCACCCACTAGGTTCACCTCTATTGAGCGCCATGTGCCGTCTCACCGGTTGCCCACAATAGGATAGATCTTCCCAGCCCATTGCATAGATAAGGAAAATGAGGCTTAGAGTGGTCAAAGTGCCCCACTCAGCTCAGTGGCAGAGCTGAGTGAGACTCCGCCCAGGCCCAGGTGGCTCCAAGTCCGTGCTTTTTCAGCTACACCATGCTTCAGCTCTGGGCGCTGTGGCAAAGGCCCTAGGGAGGAGAGCACTATAATCCCAGTCCCTGTGGTTAGAAGGCCATGCCAAGAGATGCACACTGGCCCGGGGGAGGAGCCGGGGAGCGAGGACAGAGCTCGGGCTGGAGCTGGGCAGAGGAGGGAGACAGCACATCAGCTGGGGAAGAACAGGGAGGACTTTATGCACGAGACAGCCTCGGGACGTGCTGGCCAGGCCTTGAGCTGCATGGTGTCCTCAGGAGCATTTCCTGAGTGCCGACTCGGGGCCGGGCAGTGAGCTGGGCCCACAGCCCTTGTGGTGGACACTGAGATGCACCACCCAGGTCTCCCTCGAAGGGAGGCTTTGTTGCCCCAGCTGTTGCGGGAATTGCAGGCAAATGGCCTTCCACTCTCCGCCTCATACAGAAATCGCCTGGGTTGCAGACAGCTGCCTTACCCGAGGTCACCCCTTCCCAGGGTGGCCCCCATCCGGTGACTGATCACGGCAGGAGTGTAAGGCCGTTCAAGGCCCAGAGCTCCCTGTGACATCAGCTGTCGTGGGGTCTGCGTGGCCGCACACTTCTCTGCCCGCCCCTCCCCGCATTCTGGCGCCTACACTCCCTTCCATGCGTGTGCATCTCAGGGGGCTGCCTATAAACCCAGCCCCTGGGGAGCCAGCCTGGCCACAGCCAGGCCCAGATGGTGAAGGTGCAGGGAGGCAGTGGCCAGGGCCCTCCCGGGCTCTCAATAACCGCCTCTTGTGGAGAGGCACGTTTTATCTACAGCTGGAGAAACTAAGGCTCCGACAGAATGAGAATTCAAGGCCGGCCAAGCAATGGCAGCTAAAATTGGAATCAGGCCTCCCGACTCCCACTGGGCCATCATTTATTCACTTGCTGCCCCCCCTTCCCTCCTTTCATTTAGAAGTCACTAGTTGAGCGCCTGCTGTGTGCCGGGCCTGGTAGGAGGGTCCAGCAGCCGCAGGCTCAGCTCGGTCAAAGGCAGAGCAGCCGCGCCCTGTCCGCGGCCGCTGACCCCTCTCCTTTCCCGCAGGCTCCATCCTGGAAAACCTCGGCGGCGGCGGCTGCGGTGGGGGCGGCGGGCCGGCGGGGCTACTGCCCAACCCGCGGCTGTCCGAGCTGTCTGCGAGCGAGGTCACCATGCTGAGCCACCTGCAGGAGCGCCGCGACAGCTCCACCAGCACGGTCAGCTCCGCCTACACCGTGAGCCGCCGCTCCTCCGGCATCTCCCCCTACTTCTCCAGCCGCCGCTCCAGCGAGGCGTCGCCCCTGGGCGCCGGCCGCCCCCACAACGCCAGCTCGGCCGACTCCTACGACCCGATCTCCACCGACGCGTCGCGGCGCTCGAGCGAGGCCAGCCAGTGCAGCGGCGGTGGCGGCGCCGGCGGCGGCGGCGGCGCGGGGCCCCTCAGCCTCACGCCGGCGCAGCAGTACAGCCTGCGGGCCAAGTACGCCGCGGCCACCGGCGGGCCGCCCCCGACCCCGCTGCCCGGCTTGGAGCGCGCGAGCCTGCGGACCAGGCTGGCGCCGCCCGTCCCCTGCCCGCGCCCGCTGGGGCCGCGGCGGGGCAGCGACGGGCCGGCCCACGGCCACGCGGGGCCAGCGCCCGCCTTCCCCCACGAGGCGCCTGGCGGCGGGGCGCGGCGGGCCAGCGACCCGGTGAGGCGGCCCGACGCCC